TAATAACAAAATAGTCCAGTCCTCTCAAGGAAGAAGAAAGCTGTACAGCTACAAAGGCGCGCATCTACAGTACTACTCTTGCCTTGCACGTTATTTCGACACCCTTCACTTCATCAAATCTTCGCTCACCAACTCTTTCAATCTCTGGACTTTAACTTTTGTGTTGTTTCTGAAGTTGTGAGATCTTTCTGTGTTTACTTTTTCATGTTTGTCGGTCGTGTCATATGACGTCCTCGGTGGCGCCGACTTCCTGGCTTAGAGATTGATTTGATGGCAGGTACACACAAATATTTGTTCTACTTGGTGCCGCATTTGATTCACGATTAGGTAATTTTAATTGGAAACTTCAGTGTAATATAAGCAATAAGGTCAACTTTTACTGCCTACGGTATTTTTCTTATAATTTTTTTGAACTAATTTCAGAAGCTTATTTGAGAGTGTTGAGCCATTGATTAGCAAGTTAATTTGTTACCTAAACAACCGTTTGATATTCCGATTAATTTTCAAATGGGTTTCAATGTGCTTAGTTTCCCATGATATGTTTTTGTTTGAATAATTTGTTTATGTTTGACTTATATTTCTTTTTTATTTTGGTTAAGTGCTGTCATTGGGTTGGATGTGTTTAAGTGATGCACCGATCATTTCATCTATATTTATCTTGTATATGTGTAATGTTTGTAGGAAAAAGCACAAGGGAAGCCATCCGCATGGACCAATTGGGTAAATTGGAGCTAATTTTTCTACGTGATTTGCAATTGAAATTGGTAATAATGTGGTGATTGTGAAGATGAGATTGAAATTGGCAATAATGTTTACTTTGTTCATTCTGTCCTTTCATTTTTGTTCTTTTAATTGTTAAATTCAGATCTTTTCTCATTAATTGATCCGAGAAATGAAACTAATTATTCAAAATTTCTCTGTTACTAAGAAGCCCATTTTTTGAAATTGCTTTGTGATTTATTCAATTTCCTTCTTGGATGCACGAAAGAGAAACAAGCTACATATTTATAGATTTAACACTGGTAGAAATCTTTGGGACATCACAGTATTCTGAATTCGTTTTGAGGATTAGGATTTAGTTGAGTTATTGGAGGCTAGCTGGATGTATATCAAGGGCTATATGATGTTTCAAGTTTGTATTATTCATTTGAAGTTAGACAACTTATGAGTCAATAGTGTTATAAAATACACAATGTTCTCCAAGTTCCATTCCATCAGGAAAATGTCTTATATGACTTCCAGTTACAATAACAATTACAGTTGAGAAAAATATTACGTGATGATCATATTCCTTGTTATATCGTGAAGAACATTATATTATATGCAGTTGGTCGTAACCTTTTTTTTTTTTTTTGGTCTTTCTCTGCTTACTAGATTGACACTTTACTTGCTTGTGGTGTGCTAGAAAAGAACTCCTTGAAGGAGTATGCAAATATTACAGGTATTCTCTCTCTCCATTTGATTTTTTTCCCCATTTTTCAGATAAACTACTCAACTTAAAATAGTTTTTGTAAATATGGACATGTTATTCAATTTCAAGGGATAATGATCGGTGATCTTATTAGGTGTCGCTATTCTTTGGTTGTTGTCTCAAAGAAGAATTCCTATGAATGCTTTGGTTTTTGGTCTAACACCTGATTCTGCAAAGGCAAGTGCCAAAGGGGAAATTCTATATATTTCCGATATATAAAAGATGTAAAATATCCACTTTAGCCAAAACTTAGAAAATCCTGTTGGTTTATTTTCATTTTATTCACTTCGTTTTATTTTCATTTTACCTTGGTTTAGAAAATCCTTAATATTGATGGTTATTTATTCAATTAGTACTAAATTGCCATTTCTACTGAAAAGTGGAATGAAAGGTTTTTCTTCTCTTATGTTTTTTAATAACATACAACATTGTAATGCGAAAAATATTGTGATTGAAAATAACTGAATTCTTATATATGTTTTTTATAAGACACCAATTTAGACATGACCAGGACATGCAGTTATATGTGTGATAAGTACTTCATCTTTATCTAAATGTGATCACTTTTTCATGATTAATTATTGATAAATTGAAGATGTCATTGTCTTACATAAGTATATGTGATTATGCCAAGAGTCGAGTGCTTTTCTGAATATAGTGCACGTCATGTACTCTACAACTAACAATATTGTTGACATCTAGTTAAGTACCAATTACCTACCCTAATACAAATTCTCATATAAAAACATGCATCTCATTGGTCCCTTCACAAAATACTGTGAACCCAACATAACAAAATATACATGGCACTTTCTCTTCATCTCCTCGTTGTCTTAATATCACTTTGGCCATCGCTAGAAACACGCCCACCACCATTCATCTCCCCCTCATCCACCGCCACTCCGTTTTCCCTCCATACGACTACAACAAGGAAGAATCCATCCAAGAGCCCATGTTTGCTGCAGACAACGCACTCCTCTTCCTTGTGAATGTCTCCATCGGGAACTCCCTACTCACACCTTCTGGCCATGGACACCGGGAGCAACCTCGTCTGGATCCACGCTGGAGGGAGAAGCGTCGGGGGAAGGCGCTGAGCATCAAGGCGGACGAGTTCGAGTTCAACCTCGTCTGGATCCACCACCACGTTGAACTCGAACTCGTCCCCCTTGATGCTCAGCGCCTTCCCCCGATGCTTATCCTCTCCAGCGTGGATCCAGACGAGGTTGCTCCCGGTGTCCATGGCCAGAAGGTGTGAGGAGGGGTTCCCCATGGAGACATTCACAAGGAAGAGGAGTGCGTTGTCTGCAGCAAACATGGGCTTTTGGATGGATTCTTCCTTACTGTAGTTGTATGGAGGGAAAATGGAGTGGCGGTGGATGACGGGGAGATGAATGGTGGTGGACGTGTTTCTGCGATGGCCACAAGTGATATTAAGACAATGACGAAATAGAGAGAAATGTCATGTATATTTGTTATGTTGGGTTCACAACATTTTGTGAAGGGATCAATAAGATGCATGTTTTTATATGGGGATTTGTATTAGGGTAGGTAATTGGTACTTAATTAGATGTCAACAATATTGTTAGTTGTAGAAGAGATGACGTATCTACATTATATTTAGTAAAGCACTTGACTTTTGGCATGATCACATATACTTATGTAAGACAATGACATTTTCAATTTATCAATAACTAATCATGAAAAATTGATCACATTAATTTAAATAATGATGAAGTACTTATCACACCTATAACTGCATGCCCCAGCAATCTGGTGTCTTATCAAAAGCAGACATAAGAATTCAGTTATCACATATGTTCAAGAACAATATTTTTCGCATGACAATGTTGTATGCTATCTATATATATATAATAAGAATTAACTTTTTTTTAAAAATAGTAGGTCAACCAATCCACAAAATCCGGTCAGCATTAAATGATTACCATAAACAGCAACTTTCTGTCCTTTTCACACATTGTCCTTTCCACACATACTTTAATAACACATTAATTAATTATATTACATGACAACATTATTTAATTAATAAAAATTAGATAAAAGCCCCCATCTATATCTATATATATATATAATAAGAATTAATATTTATCAATTTTATAAACTTTTTCCCGCCATAATCATTAAATATTTACTAAATATAGTATTTTTTTTACAATTATAAATCGGAGCATTAATTGTTCTGTAACGATCTGTTTATATTTTTCCTGTTTTTTAGGTAGATAAAGCCGCGTAGATTTATTAACCTGTTGAAAGAATCATTTTGATTCATATGAAAGATTTGAATTAAAACTTCATTTTCGAAATGAAATTGAAAGAGCCACTTTTCATATCCGATTTATTTCGCCACCACTTTAAAAGAGAATAAAAAATTTATATTAGTATAAATTTATATATATATATATAATAAGAATAACCCTTTATTAAAAATAGCAGCAAAAAATTTATATTAATAAATATATATATATATATATATATATTAAGGCATACCCTTTTTTGGAAATATTTTAAATATATGCAATAATGTTTCCATATACATTTTTTCAAATAAGATCAAATTAGATATGATCAAAAATATTATTTCCTTAAACAATTTTATTAATATCTGCAATAATTATATATATATTTTTTACATCTAAAAAGACTTCTACATTTTTTAAATGCCACATTGGATTTTTGGAGCTAGGTGGCAATGAAATAGAGCAATTCCTTTACAATTGGAGATGTCCTAAAACAATTATTTTCTCTTATATCGATGAATAAATATATATACAAATATCAAATCTATATTATTATAAATTATAAATGTGGTAGTGAGATAATATATTAATTATTTTACAAGTTATCCCTAACATGCTCAATATGTTCTGCCTAAAAAAACAACGTTGATTAAAAGAGGTAGAAAATATATTATAATCCTATTGTAAAAAAGGTGAAAAATAGATTATAATCCTATTGTTTTCTACATTTTAACGCTGATTAAAAGAGGTGGACAATAAATGATATAGAGCCTGTGAAAATAACTTATTTAATATCTTCCTTCCGTGCATCGCACGGGGTACGTACTAGTTAAAAAACATAAGAGAAGAAAAACTTTCATACTCTAAGTCATGCGCACAATTTCCAGCCTTTATTAAGGATGCATTAACTAGTGCTCCAGTCCCCAGAGCAAATTCCATATAAGATGAAAATAAATAATTGAATAAATAACCATCAATATTAAGGATTTTCTAAACCAACAGGATAAAATGAAAATAAAACGAAGTGGATCAAATGAAAATAAATCATATCGAATGGTGACATTGCCAAACATATCGATAGGCAGAAGAGGCATCTAAATCAAACCGTCTGGCTCTCGGCTCGGGTGCCGTAATCAAATGTTTCTCTACGCGGTGGGCTTGAGGGGGATCAGCATGGGCGGGAAAAATCTAATTATATTCATGGGGCATGATTTTGAGTATCAGATGTATTTCATGTTTTGGTTAGTGTATGTAGTAATTTTCTCTTTCTTATATCCGAGCAAGCTCATAATATCTTAATAAGTTTTGTTATATTGGACCTCTTTTCTTTTCTTCAGCCCTGTCTATTCAGCCATCCATAGCCCATAAAGTAAGTAGCAAAAGACATCATCAATTTGGGCTGGCCCAAAACTGGACTGCGCACATGGACTTTATTTGACTTCCAATCTTCACCAACCGCCATTAACAGCCGTAATATATACGTACAGTCAAAGGTAGGGACTAGCAACAAATATGGGGCACTGATTTCCATTTCGGTCCATAGTCTATTGGGCTTAGAGGGGCCTGATTGAAGAAAACCCTAAAAAAAGGTTAAATCGTACAATCATATCAACACGAGGTACACCACCACAACAGCTGGAGAAGAAAATTTAATACCCATCAATTATGGACATAATAATAAATAATTAAGGCAGCTAAAAAAATATAACACCACATGAAACGTTATGTATGTACATCATACATCCTAAGATCAACAAACAATTAAAGATCAACTTGCCGTGCAACCAAGTGATAACACAAAGGGTGAAAAGATTTTAAAAGTAAAACTTCTGTTGCTTATACAATATTAATGATTTATTTCTTTTATTTAATTAGTTTTCTTTAGTGCCATCCTCCTTCTAGTTTTGTTATAATGTTATACCTACTAATTTTAAGGATCCAAACCTCATTTATGAGACAGGAGAGATTTAGTAAAACGATAGGTCTAGTGTTAGTCTCGTAAGAATTTAAAAAAAAAAACATACTTTTGATTGAAAATTCAAACTTTGAAAGATGACATTTGTAAAAAATACTTTTGATCGAAAAATATTGTGGTTCGATCCTATGGTTAGTCCGTTAGTATAATTAAAGAATTATCAATATATTTTATCAAACAACAATTAACAAGAAACATATTTACTATATATTTTTATTACTAAAAAGATTATATATTAAGTATTAACAATGAGTTAGTGAAGACATGAATTATTTTAGTTACACCAGTTTTTGCTACACAACTGTGGCATAACAAGTCTTATGAAGCCATCAATATACTCATTTCTAAACAGTGTTTTGACACATATCCAAAAATAAATACACATTCAACTCATATCAATACAGCAATTTAAGAATAAATTCAGAAGTTATGTCGAAAAATAAACTTATGTTCAATAGTAATATCTTTAGTGTCACCACATATACTGATAAGTGCTCTTGTTCAGACTTTTCTGTTAATATTATTGTCACAGACTCTCATGGGACTATGGAAGGGTTTCACAAAAGAATTACATTTGACCCCTACACTTCTTTAGAATTAGAGCTAGCCCCATCT